AGGACATATGTACACACACAACACACACAGATACACAGACACACAGGACATATGTACACACACAACACACAGAGATACACATACACACAAATGCCACACACAGACACACACAGATGTGGTATAGGAGTCCCTTCTTTCTATGTGTTGCTTGTATTGGTTAATGAATAAAGAAACTGCCTTGGCCTGATAGGCCAGAACTTAGGCTGAGAAGACAGAACTGAACTCTGGGAGGAAGAAAGCAGAGTCAGAGAGCCACCATGGAGCTGCCAAAGTCAGACATACTGAATCTTTCCCAGTAAGCCACTGCCACATGGAGATATACGATTAATAGAAATGGGTTAAATCAAGATGTGAGAGTTAGCCAATAAGAAGCTAGAGATAATGCGCCAAGCAGTGATTTAATTAATACAATTTCTGTGTGGGTATTTCGGATGTAAGCTAGACAGGCAGTTGGATGAACAAGCAGCCCCTCCCTGCAACACAGATGTACATACACACATGACACACAAAGACACATGCACACACACACATACATATACAGACATACACACAGGCACACACAAGCACATGAGAGGGAGAAAAGGTATTTGCCACGTGTGGTACACACCCCTGTAATGAGCACTGGTGCTCAAATATGAAGCACAGGGATTTGAGCTCCATCCTAGCCTGGGCTCACATGCTCATCTTGAGAGAAAGAGATAAGGGAAAAACAAAAGTTTTGCCTTTGACCAAAATGAATGGAAGTAAAGATTTCTAACCTTGACAGTGGACTTTACTATCCAGATGCTGCAAACCCAGCACTCCAAGAAGCCCTGAGCATACCTCCAGTTCAGTGTGGAGCCTCTGCCATCCTCAGAGATCCACAAGGATGTTTATCTGGGAACTCTGCTTGGGCCCCACTCCTTCCTGTCCAGACCCTGCCCTCAGAAAGTCCTCCAAGCAGCAGCTCCTCCCCTGGAGTTGCTCAAAGACCACACCTACAGGGTATTTAACGCCCTGGAGCAGAGGCATAATTTCTTCTTCCCCGAGATCAGCTGGGGCCGCTTTGCTCAGATTATACCTGGTCTTATTATTTCAGCTTGATTGGACTTACTGCATCAGCAGAGAGACCCAGTAATGGGGATTCAAAATACTTACCAGAGGGGGCACCCTCACTAGGCTCCATTCCCCTGTCTGCACTCCGGAGCTAGGGATTGCTCCATAGGGCTTTGTACAAGCTAGGAGAGTGTTCTACCACTGAACTACATCCTAGCCCTGACAGTACTCTGAACTTTGAAACAGGGTCTCACTAAGCTGCCCAAGCAGGCCTGGGACTTCTGAGTAACTAGGATTACAAGCCTATGCCACCAGGTCCGGTTAACCAGCTTCACACATTTCAGATTCAGAATCAAATTTGTGCATAGAGACTTAAGTGGATTTGAGGGGCTTTCAGGGCTGTCCGGCTCCACTCCTCCTGTGTTCTTGGCTGTTCAGCAGGGAAGGGCAAGAGGATTGCATACGTTCAGAAGTTTGAGGTGCAGCCTATGCACCTTATTTTTAAAGTGAAACAGTGTGGAGGATGACAGTCCGTTGGCTGCCGTGTTGCTCCAAGGATCAGTCTACTGTACTTTGCAGACACAAATAGGTCCTACTAGGAAGTGTGATACTCAGCAAGGCTTAAGGAATGACCTCACAGGCTGTGGACAGGCCCCCTGCTGGCCTCTGGCATCGATCTTCAGGGACCCAGTACTCACAGACCAGCACTCTGCACAGAGCACTGGGCAGTCAAACAGGTCTGGTGCCCCCAAGAGAGGTGGTTACAGAGTACTCTTTTTATATCCTTGAGTAATAGATTTTTGCCTTTTTGTCTTCCCCACCTCATAATAAGTTTCTTTGCTGACACAGTAAGCCAGATCAAGACAAATTGAAGAGTATAACAACAGGTTTATGGGAGAGCAACTCCCAGTGGGTTCTCTGGTCCCACCGATCGAGGACTGAGAAGTTGCACCCCAGAACTAAAGCAGGGTGATTTTATAGGTTGCAGGTGAGGGGTGATGATGTGTCTGCCACAAGCTGGGTTTGTGCTCAAGTGTGGTCAAAAGCTGAGCGCCAACATCCTTAGTCATCAGAGAAATGCAAATTACAACAACACTGAGATTCCATCTTACACCTGAAAGAATGGCCAAGATCAAAAACACTGATGACAACTTATGCTGGAGACGATGTGGGGAAAAGGGAACACTCCTGCATTGCTGGTGGGAATGCAAGCTGTTACAGCCCCTTAGATATCAGTGTGGAGATTTCTTGGAAAATTAGGAAACAACCTTCCTCAAGACCTAGGAATACCACTTTGGGGTATATATCCAAAGGATGCTCAATCGTGCCACAAGGGCATGTGCTCAGCTATGTTCATAGCAGCATTGTTGGTCATAGCCAGAACCTGGAAACAACCTTAAATGCCCCTCAACTGAAGAACAGATAAGGAAAATGTGGTACATTTACACAATGGAGTACTACAGAGCAGAAAAAAAAATTAACATCTTGAAATTTGCAGGCAAATGGATGGAGCTAGAAAACATTATTTTGAGTGAGGTAACCCAGACCCAGAAAGACAATTATCATATGTACTCACTCATAAGTGGTTTTTAAACATAAAGCAAAGAAAGCCAGCCTACAAACCACAATCCCAGAGAACCTAGACAAAAATGAGGACCCTAAGAGAGACATACATAGATCTAATCTACATGGGAAGTAGAAAAAGACAAGATCTCCTGAGTAAAGTGGGTGTATGGGGACCATGGGAGAGGGTTGAAGGGGAGGGGAGAGAGAGGGGAGCAGAGAAAAATGTAGAGTTTAATAAAAAAAAAAAAAAAAAGCTGAGTGCTTAGTCAGGGACTTGGGCGGCTGGCAACTTCGGGGAGGAAGCTGCAATAGTTGCCTAGAATGCAGAACTGGGGTTTTTGGTGCCTTCCCTTTGTTCAGAGACTCTTTGAGCCATGGGGTTTGGAGAGAGAGAGGGACAGAAATGGAGCTTTTACAATGGTGCAGGGATGAACTGGAGGCTCCAACCAAATACTGAGGACAGTTTTGTTGGGGTTGAGAGGAGAGAAAGTTGCCTTGTGTTGGAAGTCAGAGAGCTTAAGTGCTTTGCCCCCAAGTGCAAGGGGTTGGGGGAGCAGAGAGCAGGTGGAGCCTGGGACTCTACCAGCTGGCCTAGCCTCATTGCAACACCAGAGCAGCAAGAAACCCTGTCTCAAAACAAAACAAAAACCTAAACAAAATTTCTACAACAGAGTGGGGTCCCAGGGATTGAACTCAAGGTTGTCAGGCTTGGTGGCAAGCGCCCTCGTCTGCCGAGCCAAAAGCTGCGCTTTGACCTCCTCACGTGTGTATAGCAAATACCCTCAAAACCCCCAAGGTTGGGGCTGACCTCTGTTCTCACTCTCAGTGGCACACACGTTCAAGTTTATACAAAAGAAATGGGGTGAGTAGACAGGGTCAGAGGTAAAAGCCTAAGATTCACTGCATTGGGAGAGGGTGAGGTGACAGGGGTGGGGGGGGGGGACCTTCAGAGACAGTGACGAGTGTCTAGAAAGCAGACAGAATTCAGCTGGTGTCCAGCGAAGGGCACAGAAAGAGAAGAAAGTTCAATTGTTATACTTTGACCTCCAAGGGCTGGCTAGCAGGGAGGGTGCAGATGATTGCATCAAGGGAGGGGCTCGGGGATTTTAAACTCCCAGCATTTAAAACAGAAAAAAAAAAAAAGAGAAGAAAAAAAAAACCAACAAAAACAAACAAACCCTGGACTTCTCAGCCAATTCCCTGGCTCTGGGACAACTAGTATTCGAAAGGACTGAGAAATTCGCCCTCCTCCCACAGGCTCCTACCTTGCCCTTTGGTCCTATGCCACCCTGGGGATGCTGTTACATTTAAATGAGGTGCTTTGGGGCTGGAGATAGAGGACCCTTTGCTGGCTCGGGCCCTTCTGATACTGGCTGCAGCTTTGACTCCAATGCCTGATGTGAGATAAGGGAACGATGGAGGATGATTGTGGTGGGGACCAATTGCCAAGAGTCCCATTGAACCCAGCTAGGGACCCTCTGGCTCTTCCCACTCAGATCTGAGGTAAAGGACTGGGCCCTAGAGTCTCCTGTTGCTGGCTCTCTCTGGGTCTCAGTTTCCCCACTGGGGGAAGTGAAGACTTGACAGATGCCATCCTTGTGTTCCGTTGTCCTCTCCATGGCCCAGCTACGGAGTCCTGGCTCCTTAGACAGCATGTGATGGGAACGTGAGAGCACTTGGCTAGAGTCCTGGAGGAAATGGAGCCCCCTCTGTGGAACCCCTGCTTTGATGGAAAGGCCTCACCCATGGGAAGACCTTGCCCAACCTCCTGCCCGCTCCCTCTGGGGCACCTGGACTCCCTGAAGGAAATTCCTGGCTGAGGAAGAAAAACAACTGGGAAGTGAAGTTACACACTCAGCACTCAGTGAGATAGTGAGAGGCTGGTTCCAAAGTTTGTCCGTCATGATTTCCCAGAATGATCCCCGTTCCTGCGGACAGTGCTCCTCATAGGAAGTCGCTGATCTGGAGAAATCCATTCGTTTACAAAAATGATCTAGGCACAGATAATCAAAATCGAAGCATTCCTGGGAGAAGCTGGGCTTGTCTGGCCCTTTTCTGGGTGTACAGTGGTACCTGTCTATGCTTTGTTGCTTGGAAGGAAAAAAGGGGGGCAGAAGTTGGTGTTTAATAATTACCTTTGTTGACCTCTGTACCTTCTGGCTTCCTCCACGCCTGGGCACAAGACATGGCCTTCCTGGGGTTCACCCTTGCAGTTGCAGGCTGGGCGGTGGTCAGCTGAGTGAGCATCGTCAAGGTAAGACCCTCATGGTGGGAAGGCCCACTTTTGTCCAGCCTGGGCCCTAGGTGGAAACGGGATTTAGAGAGGGTACCACCATCACCTTGCTGTAACCTTGAACCTGTTTACTCCAGCAAACCCTCCCGGCCTTAGTACATTTCAATGTATTTCCATTTTAGGTTTATTTTATTTACCATTCTTTCTTTCTTTCTTTTTTTCTTTTTTCTTTTTTCTTTTTTTTTTTTTTTTTCTGACAGTCTTTCTATGTATCCCAGGCTGACTTGACTCGCTGGGTAGCCCAGGTTGGCTTTGAACTTACATCCCAGTGCTGGGAATACAGGTGTGTGCTGTTACATATGTAAGGTGCAACAATCTCTTTTTAGTTTTGAAAAATAGCGACCCGGGGTCATAGATGTAAAGCGTGTTTTAAATGTTCTGGGGGTGGGGAGGAGGACACAAAATAACGTTGGAAGGGACCCGGGAAGCTCTGTAGCCTGGACGGCATTCCTGTCGGATTTTTCTCCTGGAGCAGAGTGTCCTCAGAAGATCAAGGCCTGAGCTCTCCTCGGAGGGAACAGCTCCATACTTTTGGAGCTAACAGCTCCTTACTGGAGCTGGCTGCAGCCACCTCCATGCACAAGCTTGAGAGAGATCTTGAGGAAGCCCCTTTGTGTATTGTTTATATCTGATGACTGGAGCTTATGTTGATGCTCTCCTTCTAGGCGCTGGAACTAGCAGTGGGGAAAAGATGGAGGAGACAAACTTGAGGAGACGGAGAGAGGACGAGAAATCCATCCAGAGCAATGAACCCAAGACCACAAGTCTCCAGAAAGAGGTGGGAAGCGGCGGGGCTGGGGTTGACCAACCTGTACTGGGCAGTATTGGCTCCAGGGGCTCTAGGACAGGATTGCTTGTTTACTGAACCAAGGTCCTTCGCTATGTAGCTCTGGCTGGCCTGGAACTAAAGATCCTTAGCCTCTTCCTTCTAAGTATCAGGATGACAGGCTGTGATGTTTTTTTTTTTCAGTCTGTGTGTCAGATCATCTTGGAGCTGTAAGCTACAGTTATGAGTCACCATGTACCCACATGGTGAATAGAACTTTGGTCCTCTGCAAAAGCAGTACCCATCGATCTTAACTGCAGATCCAACCCTCTAGCACCCCAGCTGACTTTTATAAAATACATTAGAAAGGAACACTTATCTGGACTTGCCTCTTGCACACTCACCAGTGAATTTAGCAAACCCTTTTGAAGTTCGTGTATACATATTTGAAGTTCGTGTATGTGTTTCTGTGTCATCAATCTATCCCGAGGACCCTGGAAGCCTGTAAATCCATGGTGTTTTTTAAAAGGGTCAGAGAGGTCGCCGATGACTGGCTCGGCTAGGACACTAGCCTCTTCACAACAGCTGGTCCTCTTCTGTCCCCCGCTGTGGTGCTGGGGATGCTGAATCACCAGCATCCGTGTTGTCATGACATCAAAGAGCCCAAGCTAGCAGCAAGCAGCTAAGGGATGGGTCCAGCTGCATACCCTGAGGGGCTGCCTGGCTGGGCTGAACCAAGGGGGTTCCAGGGTAGGAGTGGAGGTAGATTTCAGCAGGAGCCAGGCAAGAAGGGCCAAGAGGTTGTTTAGGCTCATGGATGAGGAACCAGGGCCCCAGAGATAGGCGCTGCGCTCCAGACGGCTCCACGACCCGGGAGGACAGAGGTCTGAGTGGGACCAGTGGGACCCACTGCCCAACGGGTGGAGGAACTGGAGAGGGATGCCGGGAAGCTTTGTGGCCTGATGGGGAATAATCCCTTCCAACCATGGGTCAGTATGGAGTCTTTGTCCCCAGCAGTCAGGCCTTGGGCAGTGACACTGTCCTCTCCGTCACAGTCCTGATTCCAGCAGTTTCTTCTTGGGACCTTGGGACCCTGGCGCTGCCCGGTACAGGCTACTGGTCCTGCATTTGGACACTTCTTCTGCAGGAGGAAGGTTCTGGAGGCCTCCAGATGACATGACACAAACTCGCACCCTAGGAGGGGAGGGAAAGGAAGCCCAGGCAGCCCTGCCCAGCCTAAAGCTGGGGGGAAGCTGGTCTTGCTCCCCACATTTTCCATAAGGTGTTTGCAGAGCCCTGGGCAGAGGTATTAAGTACAGACCTGAGTCGGCTTTTTTGCTTTTATTTTTTTTTTAACCTTACTGAATTCTTAGTTGGTATTAAATTTAGACAAAATGAAACGTGCAGGTTTTTTTTTTTTTCTTTCTTTTGTAGGAAAGCTTCAATCTCACAGCATAGCCAAGGATGCCCTAGCCGGCTGGTTGTCTTCCTCATCTGTTTTGTTTTAGAAAGCTCAGGCAGCTGCAGCACTCACCGTAGGAACTCTGTCACTGTCACAGTGGGTTCCCTGCTGTTGAGCTGGAGCTCCTGGCCAGCGCCCTGAGTCCTTGATTCTTGTCTAAATGGTGGGAAACTCTCTCTCTCTCTTTCTCTCTCTCTCATAGGTGGAGAATTTTTTGGGGGAGGGGGTCAGGACTGTCGGCTCCCAAATAACCACAAAACCACACAGAGACTTATTATTATAAATGCTCAGCTGATAGCTTATGCTAACAAGCTATCAGTTCCCCCTCTGGGCCTCAGTTCCCCCATCAGTGAAATGGGTGTGATAGGGTATAGTCAAAACATGTGGCGGTTCTGAGGTTTCCGTGTCAGGAAAGAGGCCTGGTTTTCCCATGGCAGCGGCACAGAGTGGACACACCTGGGACATGTGTCAGTTTGGCTTGTTCTGGCCACCCTGGAGCTTGGGGGGCCGTCACCTCTGACCCCTCGAACTCCTTGCTGATAGAATTAGCTCCGCCCTTGCACACGCAGGTGGGCCTCATCAGTGGCATCTGCATCATTGTGGGCACCATCATCGGCTCCGGCATCTTCATCTCCCCCAAGTCTGTGCTGGCCAACACAGAATCTGTGGGGCCCTGTCTCATCATATGGGCAGCCTGTGGAATCCTGGCTACTCTGGGTAAGGGAGGCGACTTCCTAGTGACCCCTCCCCTTCCAGTGTGGAGACAAGCCACGCAAGCGCAGGGTCTCATTCTGTAGCCCCGGGCGGGTCTCCAGCTTTCTGTCTTCCTAAGTGTTGGGGTACCACCATTCCCAGCTGGGTGTCTCCCAATGGGTGTGTGGTAAATAAGGGCGAATCTGGCTGCGGTTAAAGGTCCAGGGGCCAGAACCGGACGATTCAGAACGGGAACCCTCAAAGGAGGAAGGCTGTGGATAGGCTGAAGCTTCACGAGGGACCCTTCTTCTTTGTTCCAGGTGCCCTGTGCTTTGCAGAGCTCGGCACCATGATCACCAAGTCGGGGGGTGAGTACCCCTACCTGATGGAGGCCTTTGGCCCCATCCCCGCCTACCTTTTCTCCTGGACCAGCCTGATCGTCATGAAGCCTTCCTCCTTCGCCATCATTTGCCTCAGCTTCTCGGAGTACGTGTGTGCAGCGTTTTACTCAGGCTGCAGCCCTCCGAATGTGGTCGTGAAACTCCTGGCAGCCGCCGCCATTAGTGAGTACCCAGCCCCAGGCCCCAGAAGGCAGGGAAGGTGCATGGTTGGCGTTCTGGGACTCTGACCTTGGCTCCCCCTTTCCCAGAGAGAGAGGCACAGTAGGGTCTGGTGATGCGGGCCGGGGTTGGCTCTCCCGGTAGGTGTTGGGCAAACCGCAGGCCTGTGGCAGCAGCAAGGAGGGGCTTTCCTTGTCTAAGGCCTGGCAGCTTCCCCTTCAGTCTGAGACTGGGCAGGATTTCAAGGGTCAGCTCTGTGAGCCCTTTAAAGGTGCTGAGGCAAGCTTGTTCAGTTCTATTCCCCTCATTAAGAATGTGAGGTGGACGGGAGTGGGGGGGGTGGGGGGGGAGGGTGGAGGACTAGAAGAGAGATTTCCAGGACCTTGGGAAATCCACGGCCCCAGAATGTTACCCCGCTTGGGCCTCCCCAGTGCTCATCACTACAGTGAATGCGCTGAGCGTGCGGCTTGGGAGCTACGTTCAGAACTTCTTCACGGCAGCCAAGCTGGTAATCGTCGCCATCATCATCATCAGCGGACTGGTCTTCCTGGCCCAAGGTGAGCTGCAGCAGGATTGGATGGCGGGCCCCAGCTGGCATAGGACTTTGTTTATTTTTGATACAGGAACTCACTATTTAGCCCAGGCTTGTCTCTTACTGGAGATGATCCAGTTAGATCGTCAGTGTGCTAAGTGCTGGGATGACAGACAGACATGTCGTCTGTAGTTTCGGTCCCTTTAATGGGCTGGGGTCACGAGTCATACGTATCCTTCTTTCTGGCAGAGAAGGGGCTAAAGCCAGCGTCTGGCCAGCTGACATTCACTCTTCGCTATCTGGCTTAATTTCAGGAAGCACGAAGAACTTTCAGAATTCTTTTGAGGGGGCGCAGACCTCTGTGGGCGCCATCAGCCTGGCATTTTACAACGGACTCTGGGCCTATGATGGGTGGTAAGCTCTGGGGTCTTTAGGGCGCCTTCATTTGAGCTCCTACAGAAAACAAAGATGGCCCCCTTAACGTCACCTTCATGGTTCCTTTATGTGAAGTGCCCAGACTCTCATCTTCCCACGTCCTTCCTACTCTGTGGATGAGTCATGAGGTTCAGACCCTTGCCCCTTTCCTAGCCTGGAACTGTGAAGGGATAGTTGGGGAGGCCTTGTTTAGGATCTGCCCCAGGAGAACCGGTCTGAAGCGAAGAGAAGCACTGCAAGCATCAGATGATGCCTGCATTCCTCTAGGCTGCAGCATGGCCCCCCCCCCCCCCGGTGCTGCCCCCATCTCCACCCTGTGCCACCAGTATAGGCTTCATCCTTCTTTCAAACTCTTTCCATCTTTTCAAAGTATCCTGAATATTTTTCAAAATTTACATGATTTCCACAGAGGGCAATGACCTAGCCCCTGACAGACACCTAGCACTTGACAGTTGTGAGGGTTTGTCACCACCAGGACCTATGGGGTAGAGGTCCCCCTAAGTTGGTCTAGGAAAGCTCTCTGTGGCTTCTTTATTCAACACTTGCCACTCCTTGCGTTATTTTTATTTTGTTCTATTTTTAATGTTGGGGATGGGACCCAGGGCTTTGCACAGGCTAGGAAAGCATTCTGGTTTTTTTTTTTTTTTTAAAGGTTTTTTTGAGACAGGTTTTCTATGTATAGCTTTGGAGCCTGTTCTGGAACTTGCTCTGTAGACCCGGCTGGCCTTGAACCCACAGAGATCTACCTGCCTCTGCCTCCTGAGTGCTGGGATTAAAGGCATGTGCCACCACCTCCCGGTACTTGGAAAACATTCCATCTCTGAGCCATCCCCTTGCCTCTCACTGGGGCATTTTAGGTAGACACCCTTATGCTGAATTATGCCTTTAGCGCCTACAGTAGAAATCTTAAAATGAGTCAATCCTTCCTTCTTTTCTTTGTCCAGGAATCAACTCAACTATATCACTGAGGAGCTTAGAAACCCTTACAGGTAAGAGCGTGGCACAGGGCGGGGGTTCGTGCTCGTACGGAGTGTTTCTCCCCTGTGGGGCACCGAGTGGAGCTGCGACGTCCTTCCACTGCTCTGCTATTTCCTGTTCCTCTTCCACTCAGTGGATTCCCACCCTCACCCCATGGGCATGGAACCCAGGGCCTTGAGCACGCTGGGCAAGTGCCCTCCACTGGGCCACGCACCCGGCCCTGGGTGAACCAAGGTCCCCTGTGTGCTCCTCATCCCCATTGGTTTGTCTTTGCTGGGCAGTGGCTCTGTTGGTAACTGGAAGGAAGAACGTTGACTTCCTTTATCTCTGCCTTACTTTGCTCGAAACCACTCAGTTCTCCAGCCCTGGGGAAATGACTCTTGTCTTTGCTGGGTCCACCTTATCACAGATCCCCTGCCTGGTGGCCCCAAGAAGGGCATCTGGAGCCCCAATGCAGCACAGAGCAGAAGCAGGGCTGACAGCAGGAAGGAAATGTCCATCTCAGCACTTTCACAGGATGCTCTGGGGTGACTCTGGGCTCCTGTGTCTTTGTCCCTCTCAGAAACCTGCCCATGGCCATTGTCATTGGCATTCCTCTGGTGACAGTGTGTTACATCCTCATGAATATTTCCTACTTCACGGTGATGACTCCAACAGAGCTGCTGCAGTCCCAGGCCGTGGCTGTGGTAAGTAGCTAAGGCTGTGACCTTTAGAAAGAGGGAGACCTCGAGAGCAGGAAGGCTGGGTAGATGCTAGGCTGGGGGCCCAAAGTAGTAAGACAGCATGCAGTGGGCTGTTGCTCCCCGGTCCTCAGCCTCCCTCCCAGGTGTATGTAGCAATGGTTGAGGGCCCTGGGCCAGAGTCTACAGAGGAAGGAGGAGAGCACAAGTGAGGGGAAGGAGGTGATTTTAGTGATGGGATTGAAGCAGAGTAAGGATGTCAGGGCACCAAGGATGGTAGAAAAGTCCATGAACCCTGAGGCTGGTGGTTAAAGTAAGGTCATGCCCAATGAGGGGGATCAAGGAAGTAAGTAAAGTAAAACAAAGTAGAGCCAGGAAGTGAGGTAATTAAGGTGAGGTAGAGCCAGGAAGTGAGGTAATTAAGGTGAGGTAGATCCAGGAAGTGAGGTAATTAAGGTGAGGTAGAGCCAGGAAGTGAGGTAATTAAGGTGAGGTAGAGCCAGGAAGTGAGGTAATTAAGGTGAGGTAGAGCCAGGAAGTGAGGTAATTAAGGTGAGGTAGATCCAGGAAGTGAGATAAATGAGAAGCTATGTTCAGGAGGTGAGGTAAGATGAGGTGGAGCTTGAAAATGAGGTGACCGAGATGAGGTAGGGCCAGGAAATGACTGAGAATGATGGCAGGGTGGACCAGAGTCCTGTCACCAAGAGACTGGCAGCTCTGAAGGCTTCTCCCTCGTCTCCAGCAGAGGGCCCCAAAGGCTGTGCACAGTGGCACAGCGACGTGACGTGGGGACATGGGTGCCCAGGGGGAGCTCTCAGGATTGCACTCTGCTTTGCTCCAGACCTTCGGTGACCGCGTTCTCTATCCTGCATCCTGGGTGGTCCCCCTTTTCGTGGCCTTTTCAACCATTGGTGCTGCTAATGGAACCTGCTTTACAGCAGGCAGGTAGGAAACCCATCTTGTCACTCTCTCGGGGTGGGCGGGGAACAACCAAGTCAGTGAGGGACTCCCTGCATCCTGAGGGCTCTGCCAGGTGAAACCCCATTGGAGCCGAGCCCAAAGCATGCTGGGTATACGTGTACAAACTCCGAACAACAGACAAGGGGTGCAGCTTGAACCTCAAAGTAAAGTAGCCAAGGGTGGATAGCCTTGGGCCTGGCTTGTGCAGTCCAGTGGGCCTGGGCTCCAAACTGGGGAATGCCGCCCTGTTAGGGCCAGGCAGAGGGAAGGGTCACCAGATGAACAAGGCTTAGTGTGGGACTTTCTGTGTAGCATGTTCTCCCCCGATGGTCCTTCCTGAACATTCTGTCATGCGCATGCACACAAACTTGACTGAGAATTGACGGGCTTTCCTGTGAATGGGCAGCTGTTGACCTGTAGGCTGCGTCAGTATCTGTTGCAGCTCAACTCTCTGAAGCTCTGGGCAGCTGTGGGTCAGCCCCATGGACAGGTGTCGTCAGCCACTCCAGTTCCCACGGTGCGGACAGTTAACAGCTGTGATGTTTCTCTTTGCGAGACACATGCTTTAACAAAGCCTCTGTGTAGCCGTATGCGTAACGGGGAGAGGGCGCGAGTTGATTTATCTCAGCTAACTCTAAAAGACTTTAGTTATTATCTTATTGTAAGGGCAAAACTCACGGAACAGGAATGAAAAGTCCAACCTCAAGGTGTGTAACGCAGGAACAAGAGAAAGCGAGCTGGGCAGGCCCACGGCTTTCTCTGGGTACCCAAAGGGCCACACCCTATCCTGGTCCAGCCTCTTAAAGGCCATTGGCTGACAGAGATTCTCCATCACCTTCCCCTTTTGTCTAAATAAGAGCATTTCATAAACATTTAATACACTTGGATGGGCCAAGTACGAGTTGTTTCTATGAACACTGCTGAGGGGAACATTCCGGATCACGTCTTTGCTCAGGGTAGTGCTCTGAATGAATAGATTTCCAAGTACTGTTGACAAATATCACATGTTAAAAATAAATACGCACAAAATAATTCTGCTAAAGCCACAGTGAAGTGTGTATAGGGCCTGGCCCCCCACTTTTCCCAAAGCATTCTGGGCTCAGGCCATGGATCAATGGTACGCTGCCTACTGAGCATGCTCCAGGTCCTGTGCTCCATCCCTAGCAAGGAAAGAAGGCAAGAGAGTGAGGAAGGGGAGGGAGACAGAGAGGAAAGAAAAGCACGCTTTGCTGGTAAATGCGAATTTTGCTTTCTAATTAGCGAATAACAGCATGTGTTTCTGAGCCACCGTGTGATGTTTCCATACCTGTATGTACTGTAGAATGAGCACATTAACCTATCCATCACTCCTATGCTTAGTGTGTCCTTCTGGTGAGAATATTTCACATAAATTCTTAGCAGTTTTGAAATACTCATTGATTATACAGCAGTAGCCATATATATAGACATATCTTTGCAGTTGGAGTTAAGAGTCCTTTGGGTTTCTTCTACCTGTGAGCGTTAAGCTGGGCTAGATGAACGATCTGGATTTGGTTTTCTGAGGAGCCTCACGCTGATTTTTTTAGTCTACAATCCCACTGACAGTGACTAAGGGTCCTCTTTCCACACATCTTTGCCAGCACTTGAAATTAGTTTTCTAGATGGTAATCATTTTGACTAGAGTGAACGGAATCTCAAAATAATTTCCAGAGGCTAAAGATGTAAAAGACTTTTTCCATATTAAAACTTGAAATTGTTTATCATACTTATTTGTCTACATGCGTGTGTGTCTGTGAGTGTACAAGTGCTATAATGCACACGTAGATGTCAGTGTATGCCAGGGGCCACCCAGCAGTAGACAGGTCCCGGAGAGGGGATAAGGAGTCAGCAGGAGAAAGATGAGCCAGGCATGATGGTTGGGAGAATCTTGCAGCCAGACTGTTTATTTATATAGAATTCAGTAAGCAGGGATAGATTCATGTTGTTACAAAACATAGATCCTATCGTTTTTGGTTTTAGACATGTGCTTCATTTCCTCTTGCATATCTTTTGGTTATCATTGATAAGCTGACAGAATAGAATTATCTTTTTTTTTTTTTGTGAGACAGGGTTTCTGTGTGTAGCTCTGGCTGTCCTAGAACTTGCTCTGTAGATCAGACTGGCACTGACTTCACTACGTAGACAAGGCTGGCATCAAACTCAGAGATCCACCTGCCTCCATCCCTGACTGCTGGGATTAAAGGTGTGTATCACCACCACCCAGACAGAGTTATCTTTTAAATAATTTCCCTAAAGTTTAATCATCATTTATAAAGTTACTTTTTATGATCATTTTTACTCATTAACCCCACAGCCCAATCTTTAAGTATCTAGAGGCATATGACAGATTTATTTATTTATTTATTTATTACGTGTACAATATTCTTTCTACGTATATGCCTTCAGGCCAGAAGAGGGCACCAGACCTCATTACAGATGGTTGTGAGCCACCATGTGGTTGCTGGGAATTGAACTCAGGACCTTTGGAAGAGCAGGCAATG